ATGAGCAAATTTCAAGGTGTGTTTTCATAGAAAATGAATTTGATCAATGGCAGGTTTCAAACCTGCACAGTCCAAGAGAAACAGATTTTGACTCTGATGATCACTTGGCAAATTCATCTTTAGCAGGTTTTGAACCCACAGAAACAGATTTAGATTCTGTTGTATCAACTGCTTGGCTAAGACCAGTTGGATTGTCAAAATGGGAATGAGACCAAGAAAATTTGGAATTGACCAATGATAAGAATACAATGTGCAGAAGGCATGAGTCAAGAAAGGGAAGCCACATGTGTGGCATGAGTCATAACAAGATGTGTTTTTTATAAAAACAAAATGACATCACTGTTGGCATGTTTCAAACATGTACAGTCTGATGGCAACTGATTTTGACTCTGTTGACCACTTGACTAAGACCAGTAAAGATCTGTGTCTGAGAAACTATTCATGGGCAAATATTTAAGACATGTTTCAACAGCAAAAATATAACATCAAATGGGTTTCAATAGAAACAGATTTGGATTCTGTCATGAGAACCATTGAGCTAAATGCAATTGAGATAGGCTTTTGAGGAAATCATCCACAAGTGAATGTCAGGGCATGTTTTCATAGAAAACAAATGTTGCAATTGGCAGGTTTGAGCAGGATAAAAAAAAATCAATAGTGATCATTCTATTAAAAGAACTGACAAAATATGGATAAATGTGCCTTGAGGATTCGCTTCTGAACGTGTTTATTGGGAGTGCATCTAACTGGTCATAGCCAAGCAGTTAAATACAACAGAATCTAAATCTGTCTGCATGGGTTCAAAACCTGCTGAAGATGAATTTGCCAAGTGATTACCAGAGTAAAAATCTGTTTCTCTTGGACTGAGCGGGTTTGAAATCTGCTGGTGGTACAATTCATTTTCTATGAAAACACACCTTAAAATTTGCTCATGGTCGGTTTGCTTGCAAGCTCATCATGGTTGTGTTTAGCGAAGTGGCTGTGATCACAGAATCAAAATCTGTTTCCATTGGAGTGCAACAAGTTTGAAACTTATGAGATGTCACATTTTTTCATACAAGAACATGTCTTGAATATTTGCTCATAGACAGTATCTCAGACATTGATTTTCATTGATCTTGGTCAAGTTGTCGCCAGATTCAAAATCTGTTTCTCTTGAACTGAGCAGGTTTCAAACCTGCCACTAACAACATTTTTGTTCTATGAAATCACACCTTGACATTTCCTTCTCAAAATGAATGTCTGAGATGCTGTCCATGAGCAGATATTTAAGACATGTTCTAATAGCAAAAATGCACCATTCAACAGATTTCAAAATCCATGAAGAAATAATGTCAAGGCATGTTTTTATATAAAAAAAGAATTTATCATTAACAGGTTTCAAACCTGTCATGGTTCAGGAGAAACAGATTTTGAGTCTGGTAATCACTTGCAATTTCATCTTTAGCAGGCTTTGAAGCTCACACAGACAGATTTATATTTTGTTGTATCAACTGCTTGGCTAAGGCCAGTTGGATGCACTTCCAATGAACTTGTTCAAAGGTGAATCCTCAATGGCACATTTATCTGCATTTTGTCAGTTCTTTCAATACACATCATTATACAGATTATTGGTGCAGGAAGGCAGGGGTCTGAGTGAGGATAATGAATCATGCAAAAGTCAGCTAATGCTCAAAGAGATTTGTGATCGACAAAGAGAGACCTTCTGAGCATGTAGAGTTTAAAAAGTATACAGACCAAAGGATCTGAAAGGGAACACTAATCCAGACCACAAAAGAGTGAAGCTTACAATAAAAGTGGATCCTGAAGGAATCAAACCACACACTTAAAGCTGAACAACGTATGAGTAAAAGTAATGACCTGCTCGGTATAGGAAAATCAGATTTTGACTTTGATAACTCCTGAACTAGCAACAGTGAAGATCAAAGTCTGAGAAACTGTCCATGAGCAAATATTCAATTGAGCATGTTGCAGCATGAAAAAGAAATGCATCATTTGACTGATTGCAAATCTGTAGGCTTTGATTGAAACATATTTTGAATCTATCTATCGTGGCAATAATATGCAAAAGAATATTTATGATGGGTTTTGGAGAAAACTATCCATGAGAAAATATCAGAGTGTAATTGCATAGAATAAAAATATAATCATTGGCAGGTTTCAAATCTGCAAAGTTCAAGAGACACAGATTTTAACTCTGGTGACAACTTGACTAAGACCAATGAAGATTGATGTCTGAGATACTGTTTATGAGAAAATGTTCAAGACATGTTCTCATAGAAAAAATGTGATATTCAATGGGTTTCAAACCTGTTGCATTCCAATAGAAACAGATTTTGATTCTGTTATGACAAACACTCGGCCAAATACGACTTTGATCAGCTTGCAAGCAAACCAACCATGAGCATACTTCAAGGTGTGATTTCATATATAAAAATGTCACAACTGGCAGGTTTGAAACCTGCAGTGATCCAAGAGAACCAGATTTTGACTCTGGTGATCACTTGACAATGACATCTGTAGCAGGTTTTGAACCCATGCAGACAGATTTAGATTCTATCATATCAACTGCTTGGCTAAGACCAGTGAGATGTACTTCCCATGGATCCATTTACAAGTGAATCCTCAAGGCAATTCTTTCAATAGTATGATTACCATAATTGATTCTTAGGCCTGTTTATCTAGCAATTGCTCTGAAAAAGTGCTGATGGCAGACCACCACAGTGGGCTATTCCCTGGGTGAACACACCTTGACATTGACTCATGTGTACTTTCATGTTATAGCTCGTGCTCCCAAACATCTGCTTTATATGGCATTTGTGGATGCACTTTTCTGTGTTCAATTTTGTGTCATCAAGAAGGATGGCCATTCATTGTGCTTAGTCCATAACCTACAGCCACTCAATGAAGTCACAATTTGCGACACATCAGTTCTGTCTTTCTCTGACTTCCTAGCTGAAATGTTTGCTGGATATCCAGTTCATGCTATGTTGGATTTGTATGCCAGTTCTGACCAGCATGTGCTTCACATAGACTTGTGTGACATGACTACCTTCAGGACACCCCTAGGGCTGCATTATTTAACCACACTTCTGCAAGGACATACTAATGCTGTACAGGTTTACCAAGGCAATATCTTGTTTATATTGCAAGACAAAATACTCAAGCTCACATCACCATTCACAGACAATGTGCCAATAAATTTGGTAAAGATCCAATACCAAAATGTAGATGGCTCTTATGAGACCATATCTGGTAATTCAGGCATCTGTCATTATATGGGAATACTGCATTGTCATCCACTGCATCCTGCAGTGCTTAGAAAACATAGGCGCAATAGTATCTATAATCAAGTTTGTACTAGCTGCACCATCAGCAACTATTATCAGCCACAAGTGCACTTTCAAAGGGTGCATGCCTGATGAATATAAGGTACAAAAGATCTGTGATTGGCCAGAGCCAAAAAATCAGTCACACATGCAGTGTCTTGCACATTTTCATCTGTAACTTCTTGTGCATTGCACACCTGCTGATCAATTTGACCAAAAAAGATGTACCATCTGAAAAGAGCAGTGTCAAGCGAAGCAAATGCTCAAGGACTCCATCATAGATTTACCCATGCTTTGATGAATAAACTATGAAAGCAGCCACAAAGTCATCCTAGTGATAGACACATCATGCATTGCAATCAGATATATCCTGCTGCTAGTAGGCAAAGATAGCAAGTGCTACCCCAACAGGTTCAGATCAATTGTACTGAATGAAGTAGAGAGCCACTATTCACAAGCAAAGCTTGAACTTTATGGCTTATATTGTGCATTGCACACCCCACACACCTGGCACCTTGGTACTAGTGTGCAACTTGAAGATTGAATATGAGTTAAGCAAGAAGATGAAGCTGCAATACTTGGGACCTATGATTGTAGTGCACCACACAAAAGAAGGCTCATATCTGCTGGCTGAGTTGGATGGTGTTATTTCCAAACTGCACTATGCGGCATTCTGCATTATCCCTTATCATCCGCATAGCAATGAGCATATCATGGTGACCAGTGTCACTGGTAAAGATGACAAAGATATTGAAGAACCTGACAAAGATGAACCTGAGTGTTACAGGGATCTGTAACACCTACTAGAGCCCCAGCTCTCCCTACGCCTGCCCCCGCTCTGCTAGACTCCCCGCGCGGCGGTGCGCCGCCTGCGCCTAGAAAGACAGCGGTCTGGACCGCTATGACCCCGCCCCCTGGCGCTATGACCCCGCCTGGCGCTATGACCCCGCCCCTGGCCTAGATGGCCTTGTACCTGATCCATGGAGGCTGTACGCCTCATGGTCACCCTAGATCAGCGCATGCATACCGCATGTCGCTTCATGAAGATCCGGAGCGCGCTTGGCACTTCCTGTACCTATGCGCAGCTGCCCTTGGCGCAGCATGCTTGATCAGAGGTTAAGCCTCATGTATCTTATCTGAACCTCATGTCTGGCTATCATAGATTTACGATATACTATTGATTACAGACTGAGCTAGAATACTTGTAGTACTTCCCTATAAGTAGACACAGATTATTGTACTTAGACTTTACTTTAATCTACTAGGTTCATCCCCAGAACTTGCTCATCTAAGCTTAACTGCTTCCTTGTGTGAGACCGCACTTCTAAGTCGCCCCCATACGACTTAGCACGTATCCGCTAGCCCTGCATCTCGACGAGCGCTGTCTTACCGAGATCGCCGGAGGAACCCTTGACATTCCGTCAAGGTCAGACCACGCTCAGCTTCAGTAGACTCACTCAAGTCGTCGCTGAGAAGATCTATCCTAGTTCGCACACGCCGACCAACAGTCGACGTAACACTGAGCACATGCAAGATGCATAGCATGCAACCACTTCCCATATATCACCTGACACTCTACCTGTATATTCCACTCTCCATATCACACAATAAAACAAAGGTGCATTGGCACCAACAAGCAATTCTAATCCAAATTATTCTAACCAATGCTATCTACTCCCCAATGATCTCACCAAACTCCTTCTCCCATGACCCCCAATTGTGCAACAGCAAGTAAAGGTGGTTGCTCATATGAAGCAACTCTGATTCTTGTGTCTGGGAGTGCTGATGCATGTCAATCAGTGTCTCTTGGTACTTATTGTTCTGTTTTTGGAGCTCAGTCTTCTTAAGCCAGAGCTGCGCAGCTTTGGTGTGTGCTTTGTCCAACTGGGCCTCAATGTTGAGGCAAGGGCGCTTAGGCTTGGGTGCAGGATGAGAAGCAAGTGACCTTTTTATGCACTGGACCATGATAGTCCTAGGACCATCAGTGACCTCCCCACCAGTAGTCCCATCTGCCACAATCTCCACCTCTAATTTACCAGCATCTAGCAAAGCGACAGTAAAGGCAGCGACAGTAGGCACAGTGGATTTGTCATATCCCGTATTCCGGACCTACATCCAACAATGTTCCCACGCCTCATCTGGACCTCCGGATCCCCTGTCCATGTCCTTGATCTATTCAGATGTCTATATGCCCGAATCCCTGTACCTTTGTATATCCACACATCCAGATTCGATATTCGGACACCTGATTTCATATCCACTTCTCAGGATCTCCAGATCCAACCTATGCTTCATATCCAAACCCAAACCTTAAATCAGCGCTCATCCCCTTATGGTAATCACCTGTTTCTGGACCTGAACCAATCATGCCCTCATATCTGAACATCTCCAGACATCCGGATCCGACCCGCGTCTATCTTTCGTGCCTCTTCCCTTTGTATGTTCCTTCTCGAGTTAGTCTATACTCATTTTCCATACCTCATTTCATTTCCACCTTTATTTTCCTATGTTCTCATTTCCATCTTCATTTACTATTTTCCGATAGACTAGTGTTTGACTTTTCTACATCCTCCGTCCACAGCCTCGCATAGCCTTGGACTGCGCTGACTGATTCTCCGTTATGTCCTCCATAGTATATAAACCCTGTAGAAACTCCTGTATTTCCTTAGTCTGAATATTACACATATTAGTCCTTGCACTAGACCTCACACTAAGTCCTCATACTAGTTCTAGTCCTCCGACTTAGTCAATATCCATCTCAGGCCTAGGGAGGAATTCCCTAGGCCGGAGCTCCGCTCCTCCGCTCCTCCGAGTTTCCGGAAGTTCCTCTGGAACTTTCCCGCGGTCCTCCGGACCTATTCTGCTTCGGACTTTGTCCCTGCAGCCTTTCCTCTGTATCCATTCTACTCAGGATTCATCCTGAGTAGCCACTACACATATCTGTACCAGGACGAAACCTCATAGTAATTTCCGGAAGTTTCTTGCACTCATCCAGATCCAGACAGTCCTTCCGGACTTTCCCGCGCTCAATCGGAAGTCCTACAGACTTCCTCCAGATGTCATCTGCAATTAAGGGCACATACTCGGGTAAGGGGCGCAGCGCACGAGCTGAAGCCAAGCCCCTTGGAATCAGTCCTACCCTTTGTGCACGGTTTTAACAGGATTGTGCAGAGGCCAGCACCTTGCACTTCAGTGCAGCTGGTGCATATTTCTTATTTTTTGCAGCGACTACTCATCATGCATTAGCTAAATAAACCATCAAGAAACAGCACAGATTTACCAAATGAACAAGCTTTCCTGGCCTTGATGCAAGGGTTGCACCTTGCATTTGGCTTCCCGACACAGTTAGCTCCAGATACAGCATACTGCTTACATTCTTTGGCTGCCTTCTCAGTGGAAGATGTGGTCATGTGTCCGCCCAAGCGCTATAATCAATATGTCAGCATAACTGAAACCCCAAACAAAGAGTCAGCTTACCAGCCATCCCATATCCTCCAATACAGTTGAAGTGGGTTTTGCCTTCTCTTTGCCATTTTTGGTGGGCACAGGACATGCAGTCACAATGGTTTCTTTGGCCTTTTCCTTTTATGCCTTGACAGCCTTCATAAGCATCTTGGTGGTGGTCATTGCCTTGGCCAACTCCACAGCAAGATGTGACCATAAGCATATGTCAAGGTGTGCTTTCATAGAATATGAAACAAAAATGTTCTCATTGGCAGGTTTCAAACTTGCACAGTCCAAGAGAAACAGATTTTGAACCCATACAGACAGATTTAGATTCTGTTGTATCAACTGCTTGGCTAAGACCAGTTGGATGCACTTTCAATAAATTCATTCAGAAGTGAATCCTCAAGGCACATTTATCTGTATTTTGTCAGTTCTTTCAATAGCATGATTGTCATTGATGGTGATTTTGAACTTGATTAATATCGCTGTTGAATTTATGCACAGATCAGAATTTTCTTTTTTGCTAAAAACTTACCAGAGGCAAATGTGAGTATGCTTGATGTAAATTTGAAAGGATGAGTACACTGGTAGCACCACAGATGAATTGGTCCTGGAAAGTATAGGATCTTGGATGCTATGGGTAGTGACAGGAACCTGAGGTTGGGATATGTTAAGAGTAGTAACATGAGTTTGACTTAGAGAAGAATGGGAATCAGGCAGGGTGTGCACCTTCTTGGCTGTGGCCACAAAGGAGTTGTTCAATGCTTGAAGATCTGGCTCTGTACTGGCAGGGACAATCAGTGGCGAAAATCTGTATTGTCCCCCAGCTTCCCGCTGCAAAAAAGTCAGCTGATGGTTGAATTTGAAGCTCGGGGCAGAAATGACAGTATCCTGCATATATGAATTAATATGTGATCGTTCACACAGTAACAACTCACCTTGTTTTTCTTCGAGCATGATTTCAGAGTCGTGGTGTCTGGTTGCACTGAAGGGCTATATGGTGGAGGGAATTGTTTCTTCTATGTCTCTTTAGTATTGTTCAACATGAACAGAGAGAAAAGATACCTTGGAATGACTTCCACAACCCCTGCAAGTCAGTTCAGGAGCAAGAGGGTTTGCAGGAGCATTCAGATCAAGGGAGGTGGCACCCTTGGATTGGCTGATCCACACTGGAGCATGCAAGATATTGCCTAGTTTCTCCGGTTGAGCTCCCCTATCTCCTGTCCCTGCGCCTGGGCATCCTGATTGTCAAGGAGGCTGTGAATCAGCTCCTTGATCGAGAATTGATGCAGATGGTGCATTAGCCTGAGCATGCACTCTTTTTGCTAGAGCTGTTTGCCCTTCGAGCGCCTTGAGATCTCAGTCTATAGCTTTGTGCTTCTTTTTCTTTTTCTTAGGGCTTCCAGGCATGACTAGCAAAGGGGAGAAATGAGCCACCATACCTATAACTTACTGATACTCACTTTTAAATATAATCCACCATCACAGCTTGAAAAGCGCTTGAAAATAACTATAACTAAATACATCATTGGACAACTTGAAGTGCACCAAATGTAATACAGCGCAGCCTGGGGGTTGTGAATGTGTTATGACTAGGATAGGTCTTCTTGACACAAGCACAAATGTGCTGTCAAGGTTAAGAGTGTCTTATGAGTCGACGAATATCGACAAGTCTCTCCGTCTATCTCAGTAAGGCTCTGTGGCTTCGTCGACATGAAGGGCTAGCGAGAAGTCGACTAAGGCGCTGCGAGCCACCTTAGAAGTGCAATCGGTAGACAACTAAGTTGGAAGCTTAGTTGAACAGGATTCAAGGGATAACCTAGTAGATTAAAGTAAGGAATACAAACAATAATCTGTCTACTTATATATGCTGTACATAAGGGTTCAAGCTCAGTTCATATCTGGGGATCTATGCTAGTCATGGTGAGTCAGAGATAACAGTACATGAGGCGAGATAAGATACATGAGGCTTAACCTCTAATCAAGCATGAGGCGCCTCCAGGCGCTCCGGATCTACATGAGGTGTACAGCCTCTAGGGATCAGGTACAAGGCCCTACTAGGCCAGGGGTGGTGTCACAGCGGTCCAGACCACTGTCATTCTAGGTTCTGGCAGCGTGTTGCCGCATCGGGAGTCTAGCGGAGCGGGGGCTCTTTCAGATGTTACAGTTGACTGTAACAGAATGGGGTTGATGAGAAGCTAGCCGAGTCCAAGAGTCTCATATGAGGAGTCAGTCAGTCAATAGGCTGGGAGTAAATGTGTGTAGTGAGTGTATCAAGTAGGGCCAAGCATGAGATATCATATTATGACTCAAACTTTGCATGAGAATATTTCAATTTCAAATGGTACATGGGAGGGGGTATTATTCTATGGATGAAGGTATTAACTATCACGATTGTAGTAAATTTATGTAGTTCTGCTCCGTTTGGACTGTGGCATAACTTCCATTGTCCAGCCCATCCGACCATGAATCTGGTTAGTATGTTCTGTAATTGATGGTTAGTCAAGATAATCATCATCCCAATCATCATCCTCAAAGTCACTTGCCTGTCTCTTTTTTGGCAGCACTGCAATAACCCTCTTTGCGAACAGAAGCTCAGGGGAAGGCTTGTTCTTCAGAAGCTTGGCAAGATGTGTTTCCAATAGATCGAGAACCTCCTGGAAAGTTACTGCATTCAACGAACCTTTGTTCCTGATCAGGTGGTACCATTGTGTTGCAAGTGGGAGTAGTGTCTTAAAGTAGGGGTGGAATTGTTTCTGGAGTTTGTGTGCATTTGGGTGAAAAAAAAACGAAGTCTTCAAATCACTGCCCACTTGTAACATGCCGGCGGACCATAGATGCGGTAGCCATTCTTGACTCCTATCAGCTGAGAGATCATGTCTAACTCCAAGAGGACCCCTGAATTCAATGCAGATGTGCACCAAGACTGGAAAAAAAGTGACTCCAAATCGTCATGGTAGTGATGTTGGATGAGGGGAGGCAGTTTTCCAAGGGAAGACATGGCAACCTTCACCTTCAGCTGCGAGCAGATGTTGCAGGGTCACCAACAGCCTCTGAAAGCTGCCACAGAAGTGAATGTGACATGAAAGGCAATGTGCCCTAATATTCACTGTGAGCATGAATTCTTGTAGAAGATAATTAGTACTGACCATCCCACCAATAACATATTTTTGGCCAGCATAGATATGCACCGCAAATTCCCAATCAACCAAAAGTATGTGGGTCCCATTGCTGTCATCCTCGATCATAGCATTATTAAGACTACAGTCACGGTGAAGAATTCCACAATCCTTGACCACTGTCTGTTGAACTGAGAAACATGTCATTAGAACACAGGGTGGATCAGACATAAACAAATACATACTTTTGATGATATCCCAAAGAGCGCTCACCAGCTCTACTCTTGTCCAGAATGCATGCAAAGGTTGCACACGAGGCTTCAAAACCAAATGAACATGTGTATGAGAGGTGCCTCTGATACTTCCCAAAACCTTGTATCGAGAGTTCATCGTTTTGTCAACCTCATTGGGCGCGATCTCGACAAGCCAATACTCGACCAGTTCTGGCACGCCACGGACCCCTTGCATCTCCCGCAATATTTTAACCTCATTCAATGCAACATCTTTACCCCCAAGGACCCAATGATCCTTGATGATGTATTCTTTATCATCCCTTCTGGCTAAATAGCACATGGTACCACACCCAATGAGCCCTGACTTGAGAATATGAGTTCAAGAATATCATATGCATGGTTGTTGACTATGATCCTGCTGATTGAGGTTGAATAAGTCACACGAAGGGGATCTTGGGGTATTTCTAACTGAGGGGGGTCTATAGGGAGGCTTTCCTCTAAGTCCGAGCCCTATCTCCACATCTGAGTCTATCCCTGAATCAGACTCAGGTGTTGCAGTGCCTCCGATCTGACCTCCTGTCTGGGGACTGTTCACTTGAGCTTGTGTGGGTGGTTTGTTCGTAGAAGGGAGAGAAGTTGGATTTTCGAGTTGAGCAGGGCGAAGCGTCTTCATAAATATACTGATGGAAGGATCATACCCAATACACTCAAGACTACCGAAGACGATGCTGGATAAGATTTGCAGGTAATGATTTGGAGCATTGTCGATATGGATGGGAGGTGTCATGACACCATCTGCATGGTCGTACATGTGGACTTGCAGTTTGCGATATCCATTGGTAAGGGAGCAAAGTAAGACAAAATGCCTCCAAGGTTGGCGTCTCAGGAGAAGGTAAGCCTTGTTATCAATCATCTTTCCAATTGTGCCTGTGGGTGTTACAGGGATCTGTAACACCTACTAGAGCCCCAGCTCTCCCTACGCCTGCCCCCGCTCTGCTAGACTCCCCGTGCGGCGGTGCGCCGCCTGCACCTAGAAAGACAGCGGTCTGGACCGCTATGACCCCGCCCCCTGGCGCTATGACCCCGCTCCTGGCCTAGACGGCCTTGTACCTGTTCCATGGAGGCTGTACGCCTCATGGACACCCTAGATCAGCGTATGCATAACGCATGTCGCTTCATGAAGATCCGGAGCGCACTTGGCGCTTCCTGTACCTATGCGCAGCTGCCCTTGGCACAGCATGCTTGATCAGAGGTTAAGCCTCATGTACCTTATCCAACCTCATGTCTAGTTATCTTAGATCACAGATATACTATAGATTATAGACTGAGCTTGAACACTTACATATACTATGTATAAGTAGACACATTGTTGTAGATTATACTTCACTTTAATCTACTAGGTTCATCCCCAGAACTTGCTCATCTAAGCTTACCAGCTTCCTTGTGTGAGACCGCACTTCTAAGTCGCCCCCATACGACTTAGCACATATCCGCTAGCCCTGCATCTCGACGAGCGCCATCTTACCGAGATCGCCGGAGGAATCCTTGACGTTCCGTCAAGGCCAGACCACGCTCAGCTTCAGTAGACTCACTCGAGTCGTCGCTGAGAAGACCTATCCTAGTTCGCACACGCCGACCGACGGTCAGCGTAACAGTGGGTGTGTAGAGTTGCGATGTTAACTCACAAACTGCCTTAGTGGTATCCCAGCGAGCCTCCACGTCATCCAACAACACAAGGTCAGGCTTCCATGAGACTTCTTGATCCTTCACAGGGCGTGTGGAGTTGTGTGCACTCCAAGTGCGAACGACTGCTCCGCTGTTTGCCACCATAACTTCTGTTCACTTCTTCTGGGCAACAGCAGCACATGTGATGTTAAAGAATGCCAAGAAGATATCTTCCAACATGTGTGGTTTGAGGCTGTCATTGCTGGTAGTGCTGACCCCCGGAGGGTGCTCTTGAGTTGATGGGCTCTCCCCACCACTCCCAAACTCCAAGTTTCTCCTGCTATTCTCTTCTCCATCTCCATCCTCTTCAAGATTGGGTAGTTGATCAATGCCAGATTCACAGTGCAACTTTGGAAGGGCCCAGTTCCATCTACAGTTGACATCATCATACAAGGGAACCATGGACTGTTTATCGAGGTGAGCAAATTTATTGTGTAGTCTGGAGTCATAATAACAAATGTTATGTAATGGAACCTGGAGCTCTGTGATGTCTGGGACTTCAAGGGTGAATGTCCTAAAAATATGTGATAACATATAACTGAGAGGCTGCTCAGCATCAGCTGGTTCTTCTTCTTTGATGATTAAGTGATTAAGCTCAAGATCAGTGAGTTTATCCAGTGTAGGCACATCACTGACATGGGGAGCTGACATCAGTGATGCTAACTTCATCCCAAAGTCTATGGTTTTACTGTGTTCTGCAGGTGCCATGATTTCAAGCTAGTGCCAGGTAAGAGCAACAATGACATTCAACAACAGAATACTGAATAGTACCTAGTATATCTTTTAGCCTATGAAAATGGTGCATATCAAGTATAGACTTGGTGCAAGTACTACTTGGATAGTGCAAAAAAGGTATGTTTGTCCCAAAAATAATTCAGCCAAAACTCCGTGGCGTGTTCCATGCTATTGTACGCTGTGAGATGTGTGTCTGCGGTAGCGCCAAAATGAGGAATGAGATGGACAGGTGCTTTAAACTGAGAGACTGGAATGATGTCGCCCATCTGTGTACCATTAGAGTGTTTTGCTCTTTTCACTGTGTGCAATTGAGTGGTCAGATTGCGTTCACTGGAAATATCAAAACATTGGACATAAGTTAAGTACTGATCGTCCCATGCCCATCATGTCTTGCTTTTGCCAACAGGGCGAATGACAAGCCTAATTTGCGCAATGGAGTGCCCTGCAGGGGATCATTATTTGGCTTAGTGAAGATTACCATGAAAAACAGAAAGAATGTACCTGAAAGGCCGCTGGCAGGCCAGGAGTGCCCTGAGCTGGTCTGAATGATAACTGTATCATAACGACCTAATGTCCAAGGGTCACTAGGTGGTGTGCAATTAAGCGTTTGAGTAGGTCAAATGATATGAGGATCATGAAACTTGGTCTCCTGCAAACGAACTTTAAACCACACTTGAACTTTGTCAAATGGGAGCTCAGTGTCATGCACAGCCCTTCTAGGACCACCTATCGAGTGAATGTGACTACTGTAGTTCGCTTCACTGGTAAAGAAAATTGGCAGTAGCAGGTCACAAGTCAGGAAGGCCAAACATGATGGCAACTTCATTGACAGTGGTATTCTTGATGGATAAATTGTAAGTGAGATGAAGAGCAGTGCGTCTGATGACAAAAGCACAAAGTGGGACAGGTACCAATCCAACTTCCTTCTGTTGGAGTATTTTGGCGATTGAAAAGTAATCTGTGATAGGACGAAGCTGTCCAGGTCTTTGAGTTGGGGATGGTAGCTCTGCAGGAATGCCATCTGTGTAATAATCGATTTCATCATCCTCGACAAATTCCTCCCCAACAACTCCCAGGTCCTCCGAGTGATCTAACAGGCTTGTGGTGAGGTCAAATTGATTGCATTTATCAGCGCGATCAAGGTAACGACAGATTTGTGGGTCATAATTGTTGTTGTTGCTGGATCTTGCAGGGTCTTTGACCTCGGTGATGTGCGCATGTTCAGTGACATCCGCAGACCACTGTGCAATGATGCCGGAGTTGCGGATACTGGGGATGATACTCTGCATAAGCTCAAGTTTTGGAATATGCCAGTTGTCGATAACTTTACCACCTTTGCCCTGGTGGACACCAGCAGCAATGACTGTGTGCTTGTTCGCATGGAACTCGTCCAGTGCAGCTGTGATGCAAGTAAGATCCCTACCATCAATAGATGGCAACTGCACAAGATATCAAAAGTGCATGAGTGCATGTACAGCAACAACAACACCGGGAGGTGCTGCATCTATGCTGACTGGTGATAATTGACTGCTGGACGTCTCAGTGACAATGGCCTGTAACCTGCTTAAGTTTTGAGATACCTGTATGAAAGTGCCAATAACCAGTAGTGGGCTGTATGATTGAAAATCAAAAATCTATCTCAGACTTTCCCACTGCAAGGATAATCCATTGTGCATCATGATCCCAAAACTCCTTGTGAATGTGGTGAAGTGATTCAGGTGTCAAAAACCGGGATGGTTCTGCTAGCAACCAGTCCCACCAAAATGGTTCATCCACCCCATTTAGGCGAAACTTCTGCAGCCTCATGGAAAAATGCTTCAAGATCATCTGGACAAGCATGTGAGCGCACGATTTTCAATTGCTCAAGAGTTTTTTCTCAAGTCCGGGGTATGTGCTGGAAGGGATCCCCAAATTGTTTGTACATTGCCATCGTCACTGGAGATGTCTTGCCACCAATGCATGACAGCATCATTGCCTCAGGGGTGTCAGCAATATAGCTAGCGAGCATAGTAAAGCAGTAACAACTGCGACCCATAGGATCTGACAACATCATGCCGTTTCAAGCAGCGAACTTCAATGGTTTGAGTATGATGTTCAAGCAATTGTGAACGAGCCGATCCTGCAACACGCATTTCATTCGTTTGTTTTTGTGAACAAATTTTGCGACCGGTAGTAGGGCAGTAAGAAGGAAAGCATTGGAGGACGATTTGAGTCGCGTGGTCATGTAGATGTTGGCGAGGCTGATGAGGAAAGGGTGTGCGACGTGATCGCCTGACAATGCAGTAATGCATGTCTTGTCCGATGATAGAATAGTTCCAAGGAGAGTTGCGCCACGGGAAGCGCCGACTTCAAGAACAAATGAGACGATGACTTCAAGAGGGACTGATACATACCTGCATCTCCCAGGCATGATCACCCGTCATCCATTCAGTATATATCCGAGAGTGCCTCTGTGTTGTGCTATACTCCTTGCGAGACGTGTAGTCGAGACAATTGCGAAATAAAGGATGGTTGAATATTGTAGCGATACATTCAAGAGGATCCTGCCAGTAAAGAACAGCCGGAGACTTTGTGGGATGCGACATTTGAATAACCTGGGACTTCCAACGTGGACCGCTAGGCAGCGATTCAGCTCGACCACGTAGCTCTTTTGCTGAACGGAAGGATAAAGGTAGGTCATCGATCTAAGTACCGTCTCAGAGAAGTGATCATGGCAATATTAAATCAAACACTGACCATCTCTAGCGCCAGAAAAGAATTCATTTTCTCCATGCTTAAGCCCGAACGCAGAAGCCACGCGGCAAGTTGCCATTCCCTCCTACCACTGAATGGATAGTAGAGATTTGTTTTGTGATATATACTGTTTTCGTCAGCATCGAATAAGCTTAAAAATGTGTAACCCTCTTTGAAAGCCAGTGGGGGCTCTGGATAATAGTCAGTTGCTTTGACCTCACTGTCCTCATCCCAAGTTCCGCCTTCAGAATCCAAATCCTCTCCTTGACTCCAGAAATCATAGAAACTCGCATCTACTTGAGGGTCGTTGATGTCGTCCACCACCATGGGATCATGTTCTGTACTACTAGGTGGCAAGATGGAGTTGAGTTGGATTAAGTCGTCTAGCCAGCTATTACAGCCAGAACGAGGTTGACTCATATGACAAGCGACGGAGGTATGGTCCTTGAATTGCTTTCCGCACGATGGGCAATGACCTGGAACTAGTGCCATGGCGCTCAAGGCACTGATATTGATATCTATGAGTCGCAGACTTAGCGAAACAAAATCAGATTTGAATTCGGCATTTTCCGGATACTGACTCATGTCATCCTCATTGCTCAAGTTTAATATCGCTACTTTGCAATCACTGTCAGCACTTGCTTCTTGCCCTGACAATTCTTCTCGCTCCAATGACGAATACAATGAGGGAGCACCTCGTGGTATATGTGACCTATACAAAATTCTTGAAGCTGTTAATTCAATTGTGAGTCCATCCAAGTCATTTCCGCCATTTTTCATCACGCCTTATATTGGAATAGCCCGGAGTCCACGAACCAACTAACACTGAGGCAAGCCTTGTGCTGAATCTTGCAAGAGCCAAGTGCGATGTCTTCCTCGCTCAGAAAGAGCTTGCAGACTGCGTGATACACAAAAATGAGGTGTTTGCAAGCCTGCTCAGAGTTCGCGCAGCAGCAGCTGAGAAGATGATAGATCAGACAGATATTGGGCTGGGATGTATGAGAGTTGTTTTTAGAGATCATGGTTGGTCCCACATCCCTCCCAGTTATCCATCACAAGAACAAGGTCCATCAAGTTTGCGTGGTATGTGTGTCCTTTCTCTTGCAATATTGTTGATTCTAATGCTTCACGCTTGGAAGGTTTACATGGGCGACGTTCTGGAATAATTCTTGATCGATTCATAGTATTCGAGGTCTTGTATCATCATTTTGTGTTATGTTGTCCTTGTCTATATATTTGGTATTTCCGTAGTTATGCTATGTAGCTTTGAGCCATATGGAATCAATTCTTGTCACACTTTTGTTTGAGTCCAGCTGAGCTTGAAGTCAAACAACTTTATAGTACTAGATTATGCCACTAGGAACCTTAGCCCTGTTTAACTGTGAGTCTTGTTTAGCTATGAGCGACTGGAAGTGTTGTGTCACTATGAACTGTGAGCCTGTGTGAACTGTGGAGCCTCGTGACTTGCTGTTGTGAGGCCCCATGTGTGTGACCTCTGTGAGAAAGTTGTAGTTTACTGATGCAGGTTAAATTTATTACTTATGTGGCAAGGCTCCAATCGAACTAGTACCTAGCAAGTCGCTATGTGTGTTATATAACTTTCGCACTACTTACCTCGGTTCGGGCCAAAGCGGCACTTAGCGGTGTACCTAAAGCGGCATGACCGGCACCTGCTAAAATTCAAACTCCGTGCTTCGCCTGAGATCGACCAGCCTGGCTCCAGTCACTCGACTTGATAAGCCAGGCTGGTCACGAGCCTACTTCACACTCACGTCTCAATCGATCATCTTGTTTTAACCTCGGAAAGACTTGGCAGGCACTCACAGGCGAGTGACTGGCATACAAATGCAAGTTATCTCCGAGCCGATACAGAGAAACACCATGGAATGCACTTACTTCTGTCGCGGTACTTTCTGCAGAAGCCTTTCGCCGAAGTTAAAAATTCCTGGTGGGCGTATGTTGAAAACATATGGTTCTGTTAGCTGCTGCTCGTTGCATCTTTAGATTGTTCATTCACTCCAATTTTATCAGAAACGGAGGGCCATTTTGGAGGATCTTGACGCATAGGGAGCTGCCGGTGACCGCCTGGTAGCCCAAGATAACATGTGAAATGGGTGTCGGGGTGCCGCGTGAGTGGCGTTAGCTATGCATGATAAGCATCCGAGTAGAGTTAAAGAACTGCGAGTCCGAGCGCGTGAACGATGATAGCGCCCTCTTACCATTTGAACTTGTCATGGGCCTGCTTAATAGGATCATCCAAAGCTTTGAAGTCACTCATGACTCCAACCTCACCATTACTGAGCAGCTCGTTGCCGTGAGTATCCACAATTGTTACGATCCCCCCATGTACTGACGGCAATTTGCTTTATGATAGAACTACGATTTGCTGCCTGTTGAGCCGGAGAAACGCACATGGCGTGCATACAACTACGTTGCCTTCTGGACAGCGGACACGTTCAACATAAACATGTGGATGATCGTATCGTACGCTCACCATCATCATTATAATTTTGATCGGTATTAAAATCTTCAAGCTCCATGATCCAACTAGGGATGTCGTGGTGGCAAGCCTGGATATGCACCTGGCTGGGTTATGGCGTTGTCGCGCCTTTCCTTGTCCTGAATGCACGTCCTGGTGCTATCTTCCATGTGATGTTTCCAATCGTGAATCGCACGAGCTTCGGGATGTTTGGAAGTTTGTGGTGTGTCTTTAATCGCGCCGCTATGGCATGGTACGCCTTCCCAGCTTCGCAATGATGCGCGAGCTAAACAACATAGCATATGGTATGGCGTCCAGGCGAGCATCGGAGGTTCCTGTGTGCTCGTAATGCTCAGAGCGATGTGGCCTAGCATATATGACCTGCGTGCGTTTATCATTTTCTATGGTAATCATACTCAACTGAAGCTGGCCGATAGCAAATTCGATGCCTGCGTCCTCTGGAACGGACACTCGGGATTTCCTATGCTTCTTCCTCTTCTGGCTCATTTCGCTGCCGATCATTTGGTTCCCTGTGCACAAGGTGTAAGTACATTCACATCTTCCCATGAAGACGGTCATAAAGCGACCTTCCTCAGCCGCCACTTTTTCCTTGTGACACCCATCCTGATGCCCATAGCCTCAATCACATTTCTCGTATGGTGCATTGTGAAAGCTCAGCGGAATCGGTCCGATCATGCATCAACCTTCTACACTGCAGGGATCAAAGCTAGGCTGGGCTATGGTGGTCAGTTCGATGTCATGCATCAGTAACAAGGTAACCCTGGTCACCAACGCACCGGATTTTGCCTCCCGCGCTCGCACCTCATCCGCCGCGCTATACCCACAACTGTTTGCGATTCCTCTAAGTGCGGCATTTGTAAGTTTGATCGGGATCCTTGTGAGCTCGTCGTCGCAGGCAATTTACGGGACAGCCATTTGGTCGCCCATCGAACTGTTGGGAAATTTCTTGAACGACAATCCGTCGAAAGCAACGAGATTCGGGGTGTGTGATTGTGATATCCGAGGAGCTTGGTCTATGTCTGACACGCTTTTACGTCTTCCTCCTTGCAGGTATGGTTTATCTCAGCATCATTCATGCTGTCACAGGTGACGTCGCATATTTTCTTTGCTATTGCGAATTTAATGCTTCTTCTCCTCCTAGATGGGGTGTGTCAAATAATATACCCAGACTTCAGAACGGGCTCCGAGCTGACATTGGTTATCAAGCACGAACATCTGCGCGAATTCAGTGTCGGCGGGATGCGATTTGACCGCACTGTTCCCTCGTTTTATTGTATGCATATCCAGTGTATACTCAGAACTAACGTACTCAAGAACCAACCGCAGAACATCCGACGTGGCGGGTATATCGCTGCTACCGTTGGTCTCGCCATGTGTCCATGGAACCTTCTGAAAAATAGTAATGAGTTCACTTCTTACCTCTCCGCATATTCGGTGTTCCTGAGCTCCATTGCTGGGGTGATGGTATGTAGGCGCTTCTGTAATTGTTCTTTTCACTATTGTGAACGGGTTGCTGTAGGTGACGGAATACTACATCATCCGCAAGGGTCATTATAATGTGAAGGACCTCTATAACACCGAAAGGGGCAGCTGGTACTGGTACACGTATGGGATCAACTTCCGGTGAGAGCTTTGATTGCCTTGAAGCGTTCAACCCTGACAAGTGTTGTTAAGGGCATACACCGCATATATTTCCGGGATCCTTATTAACGCTGTCGGTTTCGCTGGAGCCAGTGAGTTATCACCACGGTCGCGATGCATCGATCCTGAGATGTGATTTCCCAGCCGGGTGCGCGGTCCCTCTAGCAGCTACTCGGATATATGAGTTGTCGTTCTTTACGGGCTTTGGAGTTTCTGCAATTGTCTATTGGGCGTTGAATCGCGTCTTCCCGGTAATCGGTGCCGCTGACACGTTCGAGGAAATCGACGTATCTGGATATGAACGTACGGCACGCAGTTTACGGGATATTGAGGAAGTAGACGACGAGACGAAGGACGGGGGATCAGATCATTCTGCGAGCAAAAGATAAGGAGCTTGCCAAACCTCTGTACAAATACCATAAATAGCAACAAGATAACATGATGTCATAGTTCAACGTTCAGGTGCACAGGCTGTGCACAGGGGTTGCGACTTACCATCATCATCTACGCACCGTAAATTCGAACAGAATGTCATCTGGAGGCACACAATCACCACCTCTTGAATATACAGGCTCACATATCCCTATGGGGGTTTCTTCCATCGATGGTAGTGTCTCGGAGCCAATGTTGGATGCGGAGCAACGAAAGAGTGCGTATCATCCAACACGACTGTTGTATCCCTATTCAATTTTGAACATTTTAGCCTACTTTGCTGAGCCAGAGTTGGTGAGTTCATTACCGAGAGCAGCGGGGATGCACGTAATCATCAGTTGACTCTCCCACCAGAAAGAACGTGGAGGAATTAAGGAGACAGGGAAAGAGCAAAGAAAGGAATCTGCGAAGGAGAAACAGTGATCACTGACATCAATCAAGGGAACGCGAATAGTTCATGAATCAATGGCTGAATTCGGAGAAGGAGGGCTCTTCTGATAAGGTATTTACTTTCCGCCATCGTGTAAATATTCCTCCCACCACGTTCTAAACCTTGTACATTCTAATGGAAGTAATTTCTCTGTCTCAACAGTAGATAGGTGGCAATTGTAAGGGCGTGATGTGGCACCAGCACCAGTTGGAGGTGTTGAGACAGACTTGATATGATTCATGTCATTGAGACCAAGGATGTCGGCAAAGATTTTGCACATCTGATACTTTGTGAAGGACTCGTTCGCCGAATAGTGGAGAATTGGCGGTAAAGCATCGAAGCTGATATCTTTCAAACCTCGTATTTAGTGCGATGGTTTCCCGACAGGGAGAAATTTGCACATACCCGTCAAGCGGACTAAAAAGGATGCAATGTCCAATACATTGGTAGGATACCTGATCGCATAGTCATCCATGTTAGATTCCTTTGATTGGTCCTGTACAACATCAACGAGGATATTAACGGCTGAGTCTGCATTGTTAGGTGCAGGGCCATATCTAAGCGTGGATGAGATCACAGTCAAAACGAAGCAGTGCGACGGGAGGTCACTTGCAATACTGGAACTCTCAAAACAACTGCCCTGGAACCCTGTTGCCGAGCTTGCAATACAGCAGTCTCGCCATCCCGTTTAGTCTGACCATAGATCTGAAGTGGGTTAGTAGGCAACTCTGGTGTATACCCGCCAGGAGGAGGCGATCTTCCGTCGAAAACGTAGTCTATTCATTATTGAATCACAATGAATTCATGACAGCTACAGTGCGATGCTCACCAGTAGAGATATACACGAGTGTAAAGTTAATGGCCTTCGCGAGTTCAGCAAGGTACCCCGGCACTTCGACATTCAGCTGGACAAGTGCCGTCAGATGGCACTGCTAATAATTAAGTTATCTTCTGACGAACAAGCTGGGTTCCGACTGGATCCTGAGGTCATATGTGATACGGATCAACATAACATCGACGTCGGTGTGAATATTCATACCTTCTCGGCAACATCAGGTCGCCTTTCAGCGGCGCAATGGATCACCCCTTGCCAATCACAGTGAAGACCTGCGCGGAACCACCTCGAAATCGTTCTTACAGGTAGGTTTAATTTCTTCCAACTTCTGCTTGGTCGCTTCTTTATCTGTCAAATCTAGCTGCACTAGATGGCTAGCGGTGCTTTTATTCTTTAAGCCCACAACCTCATATCGCAATGCCTTCTCGAATGCCTTATGAACCGCAGTGCCGAGAACACCAGATGCCCCTGATCGTTCTTCAGTACGAGGCTTCTCAGATGGAAGGGAGACATGTCTACCTGTAACCACAATCTTCGAGCCTGACATGAAAGAGATATTTGGCGTAGCAACGTTGACAGGAATTGTAAATTGACAAACCCCGCCAGGCCAGGTTTAATACATAGTTCCCTTGAGCTTCGCTCGTGAGAAATTATTTACCAGCCTGGGTGTGCCGGCGTTGCCGCATCATTGCATGTGCCTACAGCCACCTTATTGGGCGCTTTTTTTAATATTATAGTTCTCAGGAACGTCCTGTTGTCTTGAGCCCACCAATCATTTCTGAGAACCGTTCGCTGCGGTGCTGGGGAAGCCTCAGTGACATTCGAAATCTCGACCGTAAACTTGATGCCAGGAACCTCAGGCTAGCTTGCGAGGCATTACTATTGCCAGATACAACATCATGGGGCCCTTCACGACAACTAGGTACCTTTGTCGACAACGTGGGTCGTGGTGTACTATTCAAAGTCACGGTGTGTCTGAAAACAAACTCCATGATTTTGGCGAAATCAGCAGAGATCTTAAGTGTGAAATTCCAGTTATTTTCTTCTCATGGCTACGAGGGAAATGTTAAATCATTTTCAATATTAGAACTTGACTGTTTCCATACAAATAGGTCCCACTCACATTCCTGAACCCTACTTCTCTGTCAAGCAGAGCTAAACGTTGGACGGCAGGGTTTGAGGGTTAATATTATATGAGGAACGAGGCTCACTGTACCTTCTAGAGGTTCACGGCCACTCTCCTATTCATCCCTCAGGATGACGTTGGCGCTCCGAGTCGAGCCTCGCCCGAGCCTCGACCCCAGTGCATTGCCACCGCCATCGAGCTTCGTGCAGGCTGCGGGGCTCGACAGCTGTCTTAATCCTTCGCATTCACATGTATCCACCTTCCAGTGAGTGTCACAAGTACAGTGGTATGCACCAGGCGATCGGTCATTGACTGGTATGCACAGCTCGTTACTTCTGGATATGCAACTATATAGCTCCTCTATTAAAACGATCAAACAGGTCGGACTTGATGAAACAATTTCTTGCCCAGTCTTCGGAGATCACGACAAGGTCGAAGGCAAGGTTATTATAGGTCCGAACTGTTCACAAAACGGTCGACTGAACATATCTGTAAGTCTAACTTATACCATGAGTTATACACGTGAACTCAACTATTACTATTGTAGATTGAAGGCGTGTTTGAGTATATCTCTGTAAAGGAGGATCTAGACGACGAATCTGCCCAGGGACCTAAAGCTTCGAAATGCAAGCACATATTCTTATCGTCCTCTACTGTCATTGCTATTTCACCTTTCCATGATCCGTTTACTGTTGTTTCCGACGTGTTTTGGGTGCTGAAACTTCCCAGTCGCTCGAATTTGAATGGCCCTGCGCCTAGATTCTGCGAATTCAGCTTCGAAATTCCTCGCGGCAGTCGACCAGGTGAAGAGATGCCTCCCACCTTCTATGCTTCGATGCCTTGCGATAACAGGCGAGGAGACTTGTCTATTGTGGAGAAGGCTGAGGTGTCATATCACATTACTGCAGCGTGGGAGCCCTCAGATATGTCGGAGACCAGCGGGATGTGCGTTCCAATGCCAGGCACCACTAGCTTTCAGATGCTCACCTCATAGGTTACAGGCTGGAAGTTCCTATTCTGTTTCGTCCAAACACAGACTTTCAGTCTATGGACAGTTCCAATATCGCGTCTGAATTATGGCTCGAAACTCCTCTTACACCAGAGCGATCTGTTCCGTTCCATTGCGCGGTAGGTCGAAGGAGTGGCACACATGTGTATCATCTTATGAACAGAATTTGTAGGTCACTCTGCCACGCTCGCAAACATTTTCTCGATGTATCTCTGTCCCATATTTTGTGGTATTTACAACAAAACCTCAATGCGCCGTACTTGCTCGAGAAATCGCTGCCGATGCCACCATTGCTGTTTCCCTAGTCCGTAAAGTTACCATAAAGCCCCAGCTACCCCCTACTCCCCCCGATACCACACAACTCAGTGATGATTCAGACAGTCCATCTGGCCCTTTTCCGACATCGCGAACCAAGCTACTAAAGCGTGCAGCAAAGATGGTTGCAACTGCGGTGGTTCGCGTACCAAAGAGCCGTGAAGAGCCTTTCTCAGCTGCCGTCCGGTACAAACCACTCCCTGAATTACCACAAGTTTCCTTCTCGGAAACTCATACTGTACAAACACAAGTGTCTGTTGGATTTCCAAAGCGTCCCCGTCATCCTAATGACCATGGTGGTTCTGAATGCCAGGCGTATCTACCCAATGGCCTGTATAAGGGCAAATTCCGGTTGTCAAAGGATATGATACCAGAAGTCGATTGGCCTGGTGTTAGCGTCAAGGTGAGCTCCCTCCTATAACAGAAGATTCACATCTGAGGGTAGGTTCCAGTATTACTTGGACGTGACTGTTCTCTTTCAGCAGGACGCACTAAGGGCTTGCGTTCCTATTCGAATTTTCTAAGGCATCCAACTAGCAACCCACTCACTATCTAGAATTCCGTTCGTTCAAAAGTACTGTCTTTTTTCCTTGTCTGAACATGGTTATTTGTTACTTTATGGCATTATTGTTATCATTATCGCGCACATGTCTTCACTGTACACATTGTATTTAATTAGTACCATGCATACCAATCTTTGGTACAAGCCCATCCCGGCCTTGAGCTTGATGACCTTGCAGGTGACATATTGTGTGACCCAGTGCACAATTTGAATTGTGAGCTGGTCGAGCGTCCGGACAACACAAACAGCTCCTATTTTAGGCTTACGTGGTAACGGCATCGGAATTTTGATCAAGTTGCATGTTTTACACTAGTCTCTCCTTCTACTAGACCTCTAGAAAAAGAAGACAATCGTTCCGTTCTACATTCAACGCACGAACTGTACCACGACAATTGATATCACAACCAGTACACGAATACTGCATCACATGATCAAGACGTGCTAGAGAAATTTACCGGTAACTTGTCCACGACAATTTGTAGCATTGTTTCTAACGTCGCGCCATGTAGATATATCTTAACAGGTTCACTTGCGAGTATACACTGTACCTTCGCCATGTCACGAACAGGTTACGAACGCCTGCCTATGCATACCGTGCCAGAACCAGGTCCACCGCGTTCCCGTTCGCGCTCTCGTTCTCGTTCGCGCTCTCAATCACTCCGAATCCCTATAGCGGTCCGCTCATTCGATTTCACCAAGCTCTTGAAAATCACTCTTGCGCTTGCCGTGGCCGTTATATTATACACGTTTTACTTCTATGAGCCGCACATCGAAATCACCTTCTACTCGCGCAAGTGGGTAAACACCGAAATCGAGCCCGTAGGACAGCTGGCTGGATGTTTTGATGAGGGGAGGATTAGTGCAGAATACAACGCTTCTAGGTACTTGAAAGGACCAAGGGAAGTAGAGGTGCATGCTGGGATGGGCATGAGACTTGGGATGGACTGTTATGAGTTTGCTGCGACAATTCCGCGATCGACTAGTGACATGGTGGACAGGCCTCGCTTACCTCCTGATGAAAGGACGCAGTACCATACGTATTGGCGCGTAGACCTCGCGCCCTTTTCAGAACGGCAGGAGTGGATGCTCAAATCCTTTTTTGCGACTCAGGATCATG